GTCACTTTCTCCACCAGCCCCTTTCCTCGGGGAGAAAGAGGAATTTGTGTTTTCTGCTTCAGAGGATGAAATTTGTAAAGTGCAGGCTGTCCAGGGCTTGCCTGAGGTCTGTTCACAGGGAGCAGCCTGTGCCTCTGGTCAGCTGGCCTGTGGAAAAGCTCAGCTGTGGGAAACCTCTGATGGTAATGAATGAGCCACACATCTGCCTGAGTAACCGCTGTGGCCACATCATCCCATTTTCTGTGTCTGTCAGCGTAAGTTTTGCCCCAATTTCTTGTCTGTTTCCCTTTCAAAAGTCATTCCACAAATGACTCTATGGAAAAGCTAGATTAAAAAGTCACATAAGCTCCTTTAGCAGCCATTAGTTTAAATGCACTGAGCAGTGTAAACATTCATGTGCCAAATCAATTCAGTAAATGGAGAGAGGTCACTGTAATAAATGGACTGGCATGTACTCAGGACACCAGATCCCCTCAGCAAGAGATGCAGGGACTGTTCTCTCCCTCCAACACTACTCTTATTAGGAACAGTTTATTGGAGAAATTATTTTGTCATTACTTGGAAGTAATGACAGAGATCTGGTTAGAGAGGTCCCTTAGAGGTTTATTACATTTCCAGGACTGGGAGGATGGTGCTTGCTAGCAAATGGGGTAATTCCCTCTCTTTGGCTCCCATCCCTACATGCATGTGCTTCTGCAGTGAGAGACAGCCTGGAAAACTAACAGCAGTACAGACTGCCTGTGCCTTTCCCTTCCATGGATGCCATGGTAGGAGAAAAGGGCTTTTCTCTTGGTGTACTTGGCCAAGGCTGCTTGGACACTTGCACTGAAGAAACAATGATGGTCTCAAACAGCAGCATGGATGCCCTGCAGTTGTTGAGATAAATATGTGCTTTTGCTGTGCCTTATAGACCTTAGTCCCAAATCCTGTCACCAAGTGTGGTGGCCCTGTCCTGTGGGCTGTGGGAAAGGGCTTGCTAACACCTTTGGCAGGTTACATCTGAGTATGCACCCTGCAGTGCTCAGAGCATGTGCTGGGTTAACAGAGGCAGGCTGTGGGCTTTGCATTTCTCTTTCTTTAACAAGAGAGAAATAATATAGTAGAAATGTTGGCTTTTCAGAAAAAGCAGAACCAAGAGATGCCCAGTGTTTTTTGGTTTTTGGCTGTGCGATTGTCCCAGGCTGAGCAAATCAAATGTCCACACATCCTTTTGCCTCTGCTGTGGATCTCCTGCCTGAAGAGGCTGTGAACCCCCAGCAGAACCTGGCAGCCTCTTGCAGAAGTTAAACAAGTCACTCACATATTTGTTTGTGAGTACATATTTATATATGAGGAGTACTCAATACTCCTCAACACACAGACCTGTTGTTTCATAACAAATAAAATCAATTTGACATGAGCTTGATTTCAGTGCTGTCTTGAGGGGAAGGTGAGGAAAAATCTAATGTGAAATTGATTCATTCCTATTCATTCCATGGTAAAAAAGCCCCAAGCAAACAACAAAACCCAAAACCAAACCAAAATGAAACATAGAATAAAAATAAAACAAACAAAAAACCAAACTGAAACAAAGCTCCCAAAAACCCGAAGAGAAGTCCATTGCTCTTGTCAGGGGACTTGCAGCAGTGGTGACAATAGGAAGTGCCTGGGCATTGGCTAAGCCTAAAACTTTAGTGCAGTGTTAAAGAAATAATATTTTCATTACTCTTTCAGTTTAGAGGTCTTTTTTTTTCTGACAGAAAAAGAGCTAGCTAAGAAAAAAAAAAGAAAAAAGAGGATTGATTGAGGTTTCCTTGTGGCCTACTGAGGATGCTGCAGTGATGGGAAACGTGACCAGCCAACCTCAGGTGTGCACCAGCTGTGAATCTTTTCTGGCTGTGGGCATAGGATGGAGTGACTTGGCATAGAGCCACTTATTTTTCCCCTCTGGTGAAAGTTTGCCCTTTCAGTGTACTCTGGTGATGGTAACACAGGACTGAATAAAGAGAAGATAGGCTGGCTCTTCACTAGCATAATAACATTAATCTCTTTCTTCCAATTTCTAGGACTGGGCTTCCTTATGTTATGATGAGATTTTGGCTATTGTTTTTAAGAATAAAGAGGAGAGCAAAACCTTAACAGCCTCCTTCATCTAAAGTGACTTGTTGCTTTATACTGTAACTGTGCCATAGTACCATTGCAGAGCCCAAGAAAATTTAAGATTTTAACCTGTATTTCAGGAGGAAATGATAGCTTAGATATTTGCTCAACTTGCTAATCACTTTAAAAGTACCAGTGAGCAAGTTTTGAAAGTTCTGCAGAATGAAAGTAATCAGATTTTATTCCAAAGGGCTCAGTTTTTGAAAGCCAGGTAACTTCTTGTGTAACCTACTTGGGATCTCTGTCCATCACCTACTGTAGGGGTCTGGTCCAGTGTGAAAAGGATTGCTGAAGTCAAGAGTTGAATAGGTTTGCAAGTGCAATACAGCAAAACTAACAAATTTCCCCTCTAAATGTGTGATTCTACCACTGTGTCCTTGTCTTTCACCTTTGTGTCCCCCTGCTCTCCATGGTGCTGCTGCTCCCCTCGTGTCTCGTGAGACCGAGCGCTCTTCAGGCAGTGATACTCCTGCTTGGTCCATGAGGTGCTCAGTCTAACCTCAGGAGGCTCAAGATAAATACCTGGAGTTTATATTTCCTCCAGATATGACCTATACTGGTTGCTGTCTTATTGCTCCTTGGTGTAGCCAGGTGTAGTTGAAAATGTTTTGTTTACTCTTCTACTGTACAGCCTTTCCAAAATAAAAAAAAACTTATGTGTGAGGGTACTGTGGGCTCTGGCATTCCTGTCTACAGCCAGTTTGATTCTGCTTTTGATGTAGAACTCCAATTCCATTTCATCAATGTGTTTGTTTATTTTGTTGCGATTTCATAGCTTTTTAAACAGAAACTCACCACATGTTTTGGTAGTGGCTGTGACAGTACACATGAACATTTCCTAATCCATTATTTCTCCTTTGACCAGCTCTGCCTATCCTCTCCTTCTAAACTGTGTTTAACAGATGAGTGTGTCTCAATAATGAACATTTGAGAATGTCGCAATCTGTGGATGTGGCAGTCCTCCAAGTGAAGGAGGAAAACTGTGGGAAGAGTTCCTGGGTACTCATTTTACTGCTCAGCATTAGGCATCTGTTTGATTTTTCCTAACAAGCTGAAGCAAAATGGACAGGCAGACACAATCAGATATATTTTAATTTGCATCTCTATGATGTTTTCCATGCCAGAGAAGGGTTTGGCAGTCATTCTGTCTCTGGAGTATGAAAAAATACCAGGCTGTGTGAGGGTGGGCTTCCCTTGTCTCCATGTGGTGTATGAAAAGGGCAAAAGTAAGAAGGAGAGAAATTTACCTCCTTATTAAATCTAGTAATAAGTTTTGAGATGAACCTCTAATGGCGCATGTTTTTTTACTTCAGGATGATTTGGTTTTGGGATTCATTTCCTGTTATGCTCCTTGGGCAAACTGGCTAAAACAGCTGGAAAAACAGCTGGTCAGGGTGAGTGCTGTTGCAGAGACAGAAACAGAGGATACAGGCCAGTGAGTGTGTAACCTATCAATGCCCCAGGTAAAATGCATGGATGGAGTGGTCTGCCCCTGGCAGCTGTAAAGCTGGCTGTGGTCAGCAGGAGCTGGGACCCCTCAGGGTATCCCTCTCTGAGACCTCCTGAAACCCCTGCTGTGGTGCTGAGGACTTATTTCTTCCTGAAGCAATTGCCAGGCAAAAGGCAGGGTTCTCTGCAGTTGTTTCACTGCAGCCATTCCTGTTCTAGGTTTTGGGTCGGATTTAGCTCTTCTCACTACTGACTTATTAATTTGGGGATGTATCAGTTTCCCTTGTGAAGGTCTTGTCATGCCTACAAAGAGTTGCCCTGGAAAAACTAGTGGGAGTTTGATGCACAGAAATGCCTCCATGTTCAGTGTTAACAATTTGTAAATATAGCCAGGAATAAGGAGCTGCAGGAGCAGCCCCAAATTCTTGTACTTTTTGGGATGGCTGTTTGTAAGGGTGAGTACTGTGCCCAATGTACTCATGTGTAGCAGCCTAAGGGCTCACAAGCCCCATGTTTTCAAAAAGGTGTTGACAATTCACCACTATTGCAGTCATCTGTTAATATGCACTGAACAGTTTACTACATTTTTTTAAAGTGTGGGAATATTTTTACCTCTTTCTAGACTTCTTTAAGGTGTGGTTTGCTTTTGGTTTTGTTTTTCTTCTGACTGTTCCTGCATGGTTAACTGGAGTCAACTTGAGGTTAAAGCTAATTTAAACTGGATGCTATATTTAGCATTTATGGTGCTAAAAGGATTATAGGAAAATAGATACTGCATAAGTGGCCATAATCTTCTCACTGCTTGTGTTACTTGAGTGGCAGAGAATGGGGTGCCAATCTGAGATTAAAAATCTAATTTTAGGGAGTTAACAAGAGTGACATTGAAGCATAAAGGTACAGGGAATTAAATTTTGTGGACTTAATTTTTTTAATTGAGCCCCTGGCCTGCTAAGAACCTTGCAATCATATCTTTAACCAAAGCCTATGATTCTAAATTATGTACTATTTCCATACACCAATTTAATAAAATCAAACTGGACACTTCAGTTTTACCCTTGATGGAACTGCCAGGATACATTTTCAGAGGTCATTTTTTTTCCACTGCCTGAAGCTTGGCAAGCCAGCTCTGTGCCATAATTTTTGATTGTTGGAGGCAGCAGTTAGCCAGCTCCTCATCTGTATTCCTTCCTCCATGACAGTGACAAGAAAGCCCAGCCTGGGATGTAAGGAATCTGTGCAGATGGCAGCTCTGCAGCTCCAGTACTGCCCCTTGGTCACAGTACAGCCACCTCACCTGAAAAGACCTCCCAGTTAATTCCTTTTCCATAATCTGGAGGGGGGGGGGGGGGGGGCTACGTTTGAAAAGAGACATAAAAAACTTCAAACCATGGAATTCTCATCATGCATTACAGATGAACCAGCTTCTCTGAGTTAAATTGTCAGTGCAACAGAGGAAGGACTGGCTGCTAGCACCAAGGCACTGCAGGAGCCTGGGACTTGGTAAGACACAGTGCACAGCACAGGCTTACTGGGGGTTTTTCCACATTCTTTCAGTCATATTTAATGGCTCCCAGCAGGAGGAAGGAGGGATCTTGCATTCTGACTGCAACCAAAATGGAAGTAAAATCATCATCCAGAGAATGTCTGAACTGGTCTCCCTTTTATTCCTGCTTGCCTGTAGGCTTTTAAATAACAATTAAACCCTCTTAATGGGATTTGTGTACCATATGGCACCTTTCTCACAGGATGACACTTTCTTATTGCTGTCTTGTCATTTGTCCATATCTACAAATAGTTTTCAGCCAGAAAAACAACAGGCACAATTCAGAGACATTCAAGGAGAGAACACCATCCCTTTGGATAGTTGTTTGTAAATCTTTGTCTGAGGCATTGTGTTCTCTTGTGGTGGTAAATCAATGCAGTAGATTGCAGTGGTGTCCTGGTTTAACCCCCAGTTGGCAACTAAGCCCCATGCAGCTGCCCACTCACTCCCCCCACAGTGGGATGGGGAGGAATTGGAAGAGTAAAAGTGAGGAAACTCGTGGGTGGAGATAAATACAGTTTAATAGATAAGACAAAAGCCACGTCCATAAGCTGAGCAAAACAAGGAGTTCATTCAGCACATCCCATGGGCAGGCAGGTGTTCAGCCATCCCCAAGAATGCTGAGCTTCCTCACATATAGCAGTTACTTGGGAAGTACTTCCTTCTTCTCCCAGCTTTATATACTGAGCATGATGTAATGCAGTCTGGAATATCCCTTAGGTCAGCTGGGGCCAGCTGTCCTGGTTGTGTCCTCTCCCAACTCCTTGTGCACCCCCAGCCTCCTCACTGGTGGGGTGAGGAGCAGAAAAAGCCTTGGCTCTGTGTAAATGCTGATCAGCCATAAGGAAAACATCACTGTATTATAAACACTAAATCCAAAACATTGCTGTTCATCAGCTGCTATGAAGAAAATTAATTCTGACCCAGCCAAAACCAGAACAAGTGTCAAGTTCAGACCTCTCAAATATTTTAGCAAAAAGAAGTTAATAAATGCTCAGTGTAAGGAGAGACTGTTGGGTGATAGGATTCTGACATGCCTCTAGTCCTGAATTCCTTAGTTTTGTTTGTAATACTCTCATTTTTGCTGGTAATGAATTCTGAGAAAGAGTAACTGCAAAAGAACAGCAATTTTATCATTTGGTCCATGTAGCACAATGGTATTGCTTGCCTTACTGATGCTTGCAATGCTTGCTTCTCTTTTAATTTCCTCCTAATCCTATTTCAAAGCACTGAGGTTCAGCCAGCAGTAGTTACACAGCTGTTTGGTGGTAGATGGAGTCTTTAATTATGGGCAATGCCATGGGATTAACGTTTCTAATTTCAGCTGCTGGGTGGGGTTTCACTGGAGTTAAGAACCATGTTTTTTCACTGATGCTTCAGGTTGAAACTCATTGCTGCTTTATGTGTTGTATTTATAGGTATGGCTGCTATATACATTTGATTTCAAATGCTATGTTTAGGCAATTGTTTCAGAGGTGCTGATACTCTGCTCTCCCCACCTGTCTATCCCACAGCGGGTGTATCTGTCTGTCTGCAGTGCTTTCCACTGTATAGTATCCCCTGGAGGATCCTGCTTCTGAACAAGTACCTAGTGACTTCTAAACTTTTAGACCAGTGAAGTTGCCTAGTGTGACTCCCTTCAGCAAGCACACTGAGATCAGATCTGACCATATCTGTATTGTGCTCCACTTTCCTAGTGCTCTGTGGATGAATTTGGAGAAACTAGGGGAACACTTCAAAATAGTTTTGGCCTTAATGTAAAGGGAAGCATCCATATCTTCACAAGCATTGAACATTCTCCATTGCTACCAAGAAGATTTTACATTTCCTTTGCATCCTTAGGCATGGATTATGATCTCTCAAACACCTGCTATCAAAACCTTACCTGTTTATGTCAGAACAGTACATAAGGTTACCCCTTCTCTGACCATGAGGCCAACATGGTCCCACAATGCTAACCCTTCATCCTTGCCAGTCATAGCCCCTGTAGCATCATTGAGCCATCAAGGAAGCATTGCAAGAGCATTGATTACAGTACAGGCAGTCCTGTTTCACCAAGGGCTGAGGAAATAAAGCTGTGCATAGGGAAACTAAGGGGCCAGGGCTTACCAAGCCAGGAAGGAGAACCATAATCATCTAGTCTGAAACTAGGCCAAAAGTGTACCTTCAGAGCTGTCTGTCTTTGTCTGAAAGGTTGCAAGTGATGGTGGTTTCACTAGTTCCCCTGAAAAGCTGTTTCTGTTTCTCATTACTTTGTTGCTGGGAAATTTCCCCTTATTTCAAGGCTGAATTTTTCTGACTTCAACTTTTATTCATTGGGTCTTTGTCAGCCAGATTGGAAAGCTCCTCACGTAGGTCTTCCCCAAGAGCAATTACCTACGCAGGGTGGTGAAGGTATGTCTACACTTTCTCTTCAGTGAGCTGCATATGCTGAGCTTCCTACCCATCCTGTCAGAAGGCATGGGCTTTTTTTTAAAGCCAGAGAATTCATTTGTGACACTCACTTGAACTCTGTCCAATGTCTTCAAATCCTCTTAAAATGCAGACACTAGGACAGCATTCAGTAACCTAGTAATGGTCTTGGCAGTGCTGCCAAATGATGGTGAAATCCTTCATTATTTCTGCTTCATATTATTCTCCCCCATCCATATTCAAGAATCTCATTAGTCCTTTTTGCAACAGCATTGCCCAGACAGCTTACATTGAGGCGATTATCTAAAATGACCCCTAAATCCTTTTCTGAGCTCTGTTTTTCAAAGCAAAGTCTTCTATCATGTAAATATAAGCAACTTCCATTCTTGAATCTCAAACATTTGATCTTACCAAAATGCATTTTTGCAGGTTACAATTATTTACCCTGATGGCTCATTTACCCATCTATCTGTTAGTTACTACTCCACACAGTTTTATAGCATAGAGAAGCAAAACCAAAGAGTCAATTAAAAAAATCTCTGATTTTAAAATGTCCCCATTTAGTGATATCTACCTACAAACTGTATTTTAAGAGCTGCCAGTAACCTAGTATTCATAGAACATGTTATGTGGGAATTCCATAAAAGGTGTGATTGGCTGTATTTTACTTATCCTTACAAGTATCCTGGAGAAATTCAGGTTTTCACTAGAACACATGAGTCTTTGCATTTTATCCTGGAAAAAATATAATTATCTAAATTTCTTCACATCAAGTCAAGTCAAATAAATTCCAAATTACTTGTTCTCATTCAGTTGGCAAAACCAGGTCCAACCATTAATTAAAAATAATTATTCCTAATTGGTAGTACAAGAATGTGATTCTAGGAAGGTCTTTTCTGGCTTAAGTTGCCTAGTCCCAGGTTTGAATCCTTGCTGAAAACAGGCTGCAGTGAAGTGGCTCAGTGTGCTGACAAAGGACATGAAACAAATATCCCTCCTCTTTTCAGATTTATAGCCTGTTTAAGGTGCTTTTCCTTACTTTCTGTGTGGATTCTACTTTGGAGAGCTCATGTACCAAACTCAGGCTTGGGGACCATCCTCCAGGAGCTGGTGCATCACATGGTGATGCCAAGAATCTCAATATGCAGATTCTTTGTAGATAAAGGGCTAACAGTAAATCAGCCCACTCTCTTGTCTCCATTAAGATTTTAGTTTGTTATCTGTTTCAAGGAAGTCAACCCTTCCTAGTAAAGGAAAGGCTTCAGACGTCTCTGGGAAATGCAGTATTTAATCCATGCCTCAGAGGTACCATTCTGTGTGATACCCAGGACATGCTGCCACTCAATGAACTACTGAGACAGAAGCACAGCTGCAGGGTGCTGATCAGCTTCACAGCTTGAACTGTCTTCAGTTCAGTAGTGAAAGAGCTGACAAATATTGCCACCAAAGCATTGGGTTTGCCTTCCTTCTGTTTGTTTGATGGCATTTCCCCTGCCCCATCTGTAGTTAATAGTATCCTTAACCTGCTGCTTCTACAGCTGATTTCAGCACAATGGTTTCTCATCCAATATCATATAATTTGTTTGCAAACTGATTGTGAATGATGGGTCAGCTTATTGATAGAGAAATCAAGAATGTTGCTGTAGCACCTCACGGTGTAGTTCAGTGGAATAAATCTTGGGACAGTGGACACGAATCAATGAACACCATGAAAAAAAAATCTGTTTTCTCACTGTTCACCAAGAAGATTAAAAGAGTGGCTTCTCCAGCAATTTGAGCCTCCAACTGTTGCCTGTCAAAATACAGTTTGTTTTCACTGTCAGGCTGTCAAGCACATTGGAAATTTAGCACTCTTGCTGTAGCTCTTGTGAGCTTGTTCTCTGTTTCTACTTACATAATATTCTTTGCTGGTTTTTATAACATAGAATCATAGTATGGCTTGATTTGGTTTGGAAAGGATATTAAAGATTACCTAGTTCCAGCCCCTCTGCCTTAAGCAATGACACCTTTAACTAGACCAGGTTATTCAGAACCCCATCCAACTTGGCCTACATGTAAGTGAACTATTGCTGGCTCCATTTAAAAAAAGATTCATGTTTGTAGGCTACAAATGTTTGTCTTCCTTGAGTCATATTTTTGTACTACAGTAATTAGAATTATTTTTCAAACTTGACTTTTGACAGAATTGTAAAAAAGTATTAGGCCTTGCTTTATAGCTACACAATTATTTTTCTAAATCCCAAGAACAAATTGTTGGTAAAGAGAACACATTTTCTACCATTAGAGACCTACTGAACTAGGTATTTTCTTCTGAAACATATTTCTAAACAATGTTTAATTAGTTTACATTAATTTGAGACCTGGGTTAATTAAAATTAGATTCCTTTAAAACAGGTAATTGAATTTGCATCTGAAATACATTAAATTGGCATTTAGGTGCAAAATCTTAATTGTCTTGACAGTTTCTGTGGGTTGGTCTCAAGGGAGGTATCAGCTCTCTGCAGCTCCTTTTGCTTCACCTCTCTGGCACTGCTCAGGGGTATTATTCCTAACCAGTGAGCCCTGTGCTTGTCTCCTGCTTCTTCTGTAACAAGGAAAACCTGTAGCCCAGCACAGCCCCTTTACACAGCACTAGCTCTCCTCTTCTGTGATCTCATGTTCTGTTCTGAACAAAACCTGCTTTGGGAACTTTCATACATGGTGAACACTGGAAGAAATTACAGTCTGCAGAAATCCAAGGGTCTCAAAGTGTTAAAAAATAATTCTTAATTCTTGCATGTACAATTTCAATTGTGTTAATAATCATTCAGACTTGCATCTCATTGAGAAGCATTTTTGTGCTTCTGGTGCTGTTACTGCATCCTTTTGTCTTTTAATGATATACACAAATGATTACATTAGTAAGCTTCTGAACAACACCTAATATAGATGTGTATGTATGTGTGTTCACATTTTGAAAAATTCTTATTATTTTACATAATATTAATGCACCAGGCCCACCCTCCTTTTTTCTCTGCAGAGAGTGGAATGCCTGTTTTCATAACAAAAAGCCCTGTGAGTATTTACTGTGTTAGCCTGGCCAGGGTAGCTCATACAGACCATTGACTGTAATCCCTTGATGCGCAATCTCAAATGTGAGTCTGTATAAAAAGGCAGATGGTACCAAATATTTTTTGAAGTTTAACTCCAACATGCAAACTCATCATTGGCTGGGGTGTGAGCCTCTACTTTGTCATCCTTGAAGGTGGAACATGAACAGAAATTTAAGTGAGACATAACAGGAAGGATGAGTACTTGTGACTAACACTTGCCATTCATCATGCTTTAAGGATCTTATCTTTCACTTTTTGTCTTTGTATCCCATCTTGTTGAAGAAAACCAATCACTAGCACTTGGGTCCAAGTTTAAGATTTTGGTAGTCCTTTTTTTCTTTGTGATGACAAAACCAGCTCACTGCCCTCTTTTACAGTAATGCAGTTCAAAGAGGCATGATGATAGACTGGGAACAGGGCAGATTCCTCCTCTGACCCTATTGCTGAATTGTGGTGTAATGCTCCCATCAGTTGTACTGCAGGTGCTGGGAAAACACATCACAATGTGTGTGAGGCACATGAGAAATGTGCACTGCAGAAAAGCCTGACTCCCTTTTATTGAACTGTAGGGTGTTTGTAAGTGTGGGCAGTGCAGGAAAGCTGAGTCAGCCAGATGTGGATTTGCAGCATTATTGAGGACACAGTAACTTCATTTGGAGTTGTGGGCGTTTAATAACCTTGAAAATAGAACTGCATTAAATGCTAGTTGAGGTGTGAGGTACTTATGGCTGAAAGAAAATCTGAAGAAATTACACTTTGTATCTAGAGATAAGGAGGAAAAATTGCCTTCTGTTTTTTCTTTGAAGGTCTGTTTTTCATCAGCATGTCAGAATGCTCACTCTGAGCACAATTCAGTTTGCCTGTGAGAGGGATGGGAGGGTGTTTAAGTGATATGGGATATAGTGCTGCAGGTCACTGGGCATTAGGAGGGGCTGGATACTGAATCAAGTAATTGAATCCTAAGGAGAGGCTCACCATCCACTTCTATTTTGGTTGTGTTCAGAGTCTCCCAACAAAGGGTTCCAGTGGCTAATGTGACATAAGTTGAGGTGTCATTTAATTATTTTTAACAGTGGCCACAGAGTGGTTGTAGTCACTCTCATCTTTAGTGACAGGACAGGTATTAATCACTGCTGTTCATATTGGCTGTACTGGCTTAAGCTGAGTCTCCATTTCTTTGTTCTTATGCAGTTTGCTTTAGAGAATAGGTGGAATACTACCTGTACAGGAGTGTCTTGCATCCCCTGTATAACCCCCTGGCCTGTGCTTTGGTTAGGGTAATGTAAATCCTGTTTCTAGCGATACTGAATCAAGTAATTGAATCCTAAGGAGAGGCTCACCATCCACTTCTATTTTGGTTGTGTTCAGAGTCTCCCAACAAAGGATTCCAGTGGCTAATGTGACATAACCTGAGGTGTCATTTAATTATCTTTAACAGTGGGCACACAGTTGTTATAGTCACACTCATCTTTAGTGACAGGACAGCTGTTCATATTGGCTGTACTGGCTGAAGCTGTCTCCATGTTATTGAATCCTAAGGAGAGGCTCACCATCCACTTCTATTTTGGTTGTGTTCAGAGTCTCCCAACAAAGGGTTCCAGTGGCTAATGTGACATAAGTTGAGGTGTCATTTAATTATTTTTAACAGTGGCCACAGAGTGGTTGTAGTCACTCTCATCTTTAGTGACAGGACAGGTATTAATCACTGCTGTTCATATTGGCTGTACTGGCTTAAGCTGAGTCTCCATTTCTTTGTTCTTATGCAGTTTGCTTTAGAGAATAGGTGGAATACTACCTGTACATGAGTGTCTTGCATCCCCTATATAACCCCCTGGCCTGTACTTTGGTTAGGATAATGTAAATCCTGTTTCTAGGCATCTGTGACTCTCCAGAGAACAAAAACATGATGGGATTGTCTATGCTTCAGCCTAAACTACTCAAGATAACACCTTGTTGTGACAGGTGTTATCAGGATGGTAAGAGATATCCATTGGCAAGACCTGGACAACCAGCAGTGCCATGGGGCACTGGGCCAGCACATTGTGGTGAAGGCTGACTGTGCTAAGGGTAAACTGTGTAATTAACTGGAAGTACATGTAGGGCTTCTTGATGCACTGTAGTTTGCTGTCAGGCATTTTTCTGAAGCACAGCGCACTTGTTTAGGCCATTGTTAGTGGTCATCAGCCAGTTCTTGTTGTGGATAAACCCATGGTGAGAACTAGTTGTAGCCAGAAAAGTGACCAGTTATCAGGTACTGCTAGATCTTGGTGACCAGTCCCTGAAAATGCTCATGTTTATTTCCATGTCTTTTTTTGTTTCAAAATTTTTTTTCAGAGAGAAATTATCCATAATGCAATAAATGAACCATGAGCAACCTCAATTCCTCCCCTCTTTGGCAGGAAGTCAGCAGCCAAGACTATAAACTAGAGTTTGAACAGTTTTTTCAAATGCTTTGTTTACCTCTCTTCACTCAGGAGCTTTTGTAACTTGTATGAAGGATCCCTCAGGATGGGACAACTGTGGGCCTGAGTGGCTGAGAAGCATTTGTTGAAGATATTTAGAGGGGAGATAAATGACAGGAGAAATTACTTGGGTTTTGTGTACATCTTTAGGTTTAGAGGTGCAGAGTGAAACCAGGAGGGACTTCTGACCCAGTGGGAGAATCACAGTGCACAGGAAACCATCTGAAGTGAGTGTCTCTCTCTCTTGGGTGGGACAGGCTGTTCTCATCTCACTGTAATGCACTCTGCTGCCTCTGCTTAGTCCCAGGCTTATAGCACTGTGCTGGGCCATATGAACACGCCCTGTGCTCTTCACAGTCCATCTGTAAGTTTTGCACTGTCTGAAAGGTTTCAGTGACTTTGTTACCTTGCATTTCTTCAGTGGGGCTCTAGAGGACAGCTTTGGCTGCTGCTCAGGACAGAGGCCCCATTTGTCTCAAGGCTTGAATACTATTGACCAATGTTATGCTCTCTAAGTTATGATATTCAGATTTACCCATCACTACTTCTCAGTAATCAATATGAAATAGCATGCATAAACCTAAGCAGAGATTTGTAGCTGTCCAGCAGAATGAAGAAACAGTTCTGCTGCTTTCTACTCCCACATTAGAAAGTTTGTAGTAAGAGCAAGACAAAAGTCAATCTGCAGATGGACTAAGAGCCAAGGTCTGAGATGAGTTCCTGATGTATGTTTCCTTTAAGCCAAAGGGACTCAGTCCCCAGCCAAATGTCTTTAGCTGTTATTTATTATATTATTACAGTCTTTTTATGTAAGCCATAATGTGTTTCAGTAGGCAGGCATGAAGAACACTCCTCAAACCATGAACTTCAGAAAATGCACATCTCAAACTAATTTTACTGTGTGCTCCATCATTCTTCTGCTACTGGGAGCAGCAAACAATCATTCCATCTCTCATGCCCTGTATCCCTGGTTCAATAAGGCTGTCTCTGTTCCCCTCAGCAGTCACCTCTTCTGAGCCAAGTCTTGCCTTCATTTCCTCCCTACTGTGTTCAAATTTCTCCCTGTGTGTGATCATGTCTGTGGCCCTTTTCTAGTTTATCCTCTCTGAGTTGGAATGTCCCAAACTATGCACCCTGTTCACTAAGTCAAATGGTGTGACTGTGTCCTGTTTTGTTACTACTCCTTTTTTAGTGCTTTTTTAGCATTCTGCTGAGATTTGTCTTTGTGACCCCACTGACAATGGAGCTGGTGATTGCAAGACCTTCCCAGGCCTCTTTCCTGATAAAAAGATAATTGCACATTCAGAGGCTGTCACTGTAGATACATACTTAGAGATAATTTTGTGCCCAGACACATTATTTTTCACTTATCAGTGCAAATATTTTGTCATTTTCTCACTTTATGTTATGTGTACCTAAGATGTGAGTCTTAGCTGTCAGCATTAGATGTTATTATTCTGCATAATTTTGTCCTGGCATTATTCAGTGCTCTGTCAGGTAGTTTGTGACCAGATTGAACCTCATGAAGTCCCAAAGCACATCTCTGAATAGGATCCTGCTGGTTAACTGCTGACAAAATGACATTTATTCCCTATCTCTAGACATGAGAGGAATGTTTCTTCTAGCCACTGATTGTTTAGCTTGCAGGATTGTACCATTTACCCTTTTGTATCTCATAAACAACTGGTTTCCTTTTTAGTATGTTGGAAGGCATCAAAAGGATGGATCAGTTTTTTCTTAATTTCAAAAACCCTTTCACTGTCAGTGCTTGGAAATGAACCATATGATCCCTGTAAGTATCAATTAAGTTTTTTTTGTGCACAAAATCTCTCCTAATCTGTGTCATGCACATATTTTTTTACAAATGGGCAATTCTGAGACACATCTTGTAATAACAGGCAATATCAACTGACAGTTTTTCATCCCATAGGCAATATGAGCAACACAAGCAAATACAAATGTTTAAAATGGACATTTCTGAGAGTTAAAAATACATATAAATTCTGATAATTATGAAAGTGACTTTTTAATTGCTCAGACTCTTTAATCACCACTGATGCAGGGATTGCTCTCTTATGTAGAACATAGGAGAATTTAATGGAAGATGTGAAGTTAATTTTTATTCTTATGACATTTTTGTCATAAGAATCTGACTCATACCTCCCTTTAGCTTTTGCTCAATGTTCAACAAAAAGATGAATGTTTTTTATGAGGGACTATAAGCTTTTGATTGTCCTGCTAAGCAGCAGCTGCAAAATCCGATGCAGTTTAGTGTGTGACAAAGCTGAATGTCATGCAGTAACTCATTTGAATAGGAGCCAAGCCAATATTCCTTACTGGGGAAACATGCTCACTAAAATGTTTTTATGGAACTAGGATGTCAGATTCATGATGGAAATTTGGAAATGCCTGTTTTGGGTGCACTGAAAATGAGTTGTTCAGATGAACAAGCTATTTATGCAGACATGTGGTCAATACTGGATACTGGTTTAATCTTCTAGTAATCCAGACATTACCATATGGACAACCTGCCCAGATTGATCTGATGAGGCCTCACTGGGCAAATGAATATCCTGCTTCAGTTAATTTGCTGAGCTTTTATGTTAGCTTTTATCAGGAGAAAAAAAATGCTTTCCAGCACATAGTTTATTCACAGTGACATATAAAATGAGACTGATGACAATCGACACAGGTTTAAGGCAGCTTGTTTGACAAGCAGCTCATGGTGGTTTGGACAGTTATCTGGAGGGCTTTCTTTCCATACTTCATTGTTTGTAGCCAATGCACAGCCTTTCCAATGTGGAACCACCTTTGCACAACATACCAGAGAATGCACTCAGTTTTCTCTTGAATTTTGCTTTCAGTGATGTACCTGCAGTAATTTTGTTTAATACCATAATGGGTTATTTAGTTTTGTTATCAACCTCTGCTTTCTCAATCTTCTGTCCTGTGAGGAACTGCCATATTCCTCCTCTGTAGTTCTCATTTCCCAGGGCATATACAAAGGCATCCACCGTTGGCACGGTCTTGGCAATTAGGGCAGGAATCTGTCATGAGACACAATATTTATTACTAGGAAAACACCAAAAAGCCAGTGGGCTGATGTCAGCCTCTGTTTAGTTTCCCTTTACAAAAAAAAGCATGTCTTCAATAGCATTAGCTTGCTACTCCCAGACAGGGTAGAAGTAAAAGGAATTTGGCTGGTGGGAAGTCCTACTCAGGAAGTTATAGCTTCCAGGAGAAAGAGTTTAGGTTGGCATTGCCTGAAATAGGGATCATTCATTTGAGAGTGCATACCAACACTTAGGAGGAGTGAAAGGTGTGCCATGGACACCTTTGCATGGATGAACAGGCTGATGTTGCTAACACATTTAATGTGGGATACTGAACACGGTAATGCATTCAGTGACCTGAAACGGGGCTGATTTTGGGGCATGGAATGAAAGTTGAAAGGTTTGAGGTGATATTACTGAGTCCCAGCAGTGGCTTTGGAGCCAAGACTCATCAAAGAAAGGGAAAAGCAGGCAGCAGAACCTTAGGAGTGATAAATTACAGCTTCCTTGAGGAGAGAGTATTAGAAATGTGAATGAGACAATCGATCTCTTTAAAACTGAAAATTCTGAGCTAGTGCCTCACTCTGGGAAGGACACAGAAAGCTCCTACATGGCACAGAACAGTACAGGTTCAGTACAGGTTACACACCCCTAACTAACTGCTGAAGAAATATACCCCTGACTTCCTAAATGACTGCTTGATCAAAGCAATAATGCAATGCCTGTTATATCACTGTGCTTAGCTGTTTTCACTAAAAATGGTAGACAAACAGAATGCTTTGAGGAAAAGGACTACTTCTTATATCTGTTTTTACCAGTAAACCCAGTAGTGAGTAAATTGGCAATGTTGCACGGAGACAGAGTGGGGAGTGATGAGAATGTAATTTTGGGGTCTGGGGTGGCACTGACTTACCATGCGGTATTTTGGTGGAATGAACATGACATTTTCCACTGCTGCATAGGAGCACAGGAGGCAATAGGGACCCCAGCAAATGACCAGTGTCTTCAGTGGCAAACCAGTATTAAACTGGAAAACAAGAGCAATAGGTTTGCTTTTCACAATCACACATTGCAACAAATGGATGGGAGAGGTCCTGTGGGATTGTGGTTTGTGTTCAGTAGCAGGAGAGGATCAGCCAAAAGGACACGGGACAGAACAGCGCAACAGCACCAAAGCCCTGATCCTGGGTGTGGGTGGGGAGTGACAGAGGTGGCAAAACACCTTATGGTAGATCAGATAAATCTGTGTGTGCTAGATATAGAAGCCATGGCCAGTAACTTCTTCTGAGGGGAGAGAGCAATTGAAAATGTAAGTGAAATTGAAGCAATTGAAAATTAAGTGAAAATTTAAGTGAAAATTTAAAAACAGATCAAAAGGAATTATATTTTGCTGACTTCCTAGATGGTCTTGCAGACAAACTATGTGAAGCCACTGCTATGCTGGTGCAACAAATGCATGCAGTAGCTGTGTTGTGATAGAAGCATTTCTCTGTCCTTTATGCTAGAACCTATCCATGGTGTTCATGGCCAGCTGTTCGCAAATATCTTACAAATATGAATGACTAAGGAAGTGACAATTTCATCCTTAAGTTTTCTGCATTGTAACTTGTCTGCACAGCTACAGAGAATCGTGAGAAAGAAATCACATGCTAGTGCATACAAACTCACTGGAAAAAAGTAATAGACAAAATAATGAATACTGAGATTTATTCAAGAAATACAGAGGGCACAAGTATTTATTCCAGTCAGCTACAAACAAGTCTGCCTGACTGTCTCTGTCAATATAACATTTCTCTTGAGCTCTGACTGTCTTTACTGAGTGCAGGGGTTGGGCTGTGCCCCCAGCCATGCATAGTGCCCCAGCCTGCACCTCAGCAAACAACTCATACAATCACCACATTAGATTCCCATAGACCTGCCACACTGGAGCAATTCCTTTGTTTCCAGCTCATAAAGGTTTCTGACTTTCCTCAGCCAAGTGTTAATACAATGTGTATGGGAAGGCCCTTCTCCCCCCAAGGGGTGCCTGCCTGTTTCCTTGCAGAGCTGTAGTTCTGAGTTCCTCAGCCATAAGCCAAAGACCTGTAGCAAAGCAGGAAATAACAATTCTTCCTGAGATAAATTTCCCTGGATAAAAATTGATATGCTATTGGTAACTATTCTGCATGCTCTGTGTTTGTTTTTTTGAGGAGAGTTGGACCAGTGTTGATGAAGGGAAATCTCCAGGAACACTGGTCCAACTCCCCCTTTGATGAGGAACTGTTTACAGCACTAGGTTGGGGCAAATGTGGCCGTCTGGTAAAATGCTGATATTTCCAAGGATGATGTTCCATGAACTTTCTGAATGGCCCCATCCTGTGTTGTACTCCCCTCCTACTCAAGTAGCACTGGGGACTTAGGACAGAAGGAGCTGAGTCAAAGTCTTTGTGAAAGAAATTGGGTTTTTTTCAAGGACTTTGTCTCTACTGAATGCAGCCCTATTTTGTCACAGTGATTGCAGGGGTCCAGGGAGCTTTCTTACCTTAAAGTGCCCAGTTTTCCTGAACTTTTGGTGTATGGACTGATAGGCTGTCAGCATGATGAAGCCTGGGATCAAGAAATTGAAAGTGGACAGAGCAAAAAGGAATGTGACATAGTTTCTGGAAAAGGTGAGGAGGGAAGAAAAAAAGATGGTGTTAATTCAAGTCTAGTACATCTATGTAAACTTGCTGTAAGTATTTACCAAATTGTAAATACCAATTTAAAAATTGCTAATACCACTTTTGTCAATGTGCTTCAGGTGCAGAATTTGCTGAAGGCCAGTTAAACTGTGCCATTGTGTGTGGAATGGATAGTCTTGTAGAAAATCACAACAGGTATTTGTATTTTAAACCCAAACACCACTACTCAGACATCTGTGCTGGCCTACATAAAGCCAAAAGCTTTATGAAAATATTATGAAACTATTATGAAAATATTATGAAACTATTCTGAAAGAGTTTCAAGCCCTAAACCCAGAAAAGATGCAGCACATAGATGGGTGAGGGAGTGGCAGAAAGCTAAGCACCAGGCTCTCCCACAGAGGAAGCTGTTCCATGTGCCACCATGCAAGTCCAGGCAGCCTGGGGTGGTGCCTGCCTTGTCCCAGATGCTGGGGAGGGACATCTGCCCCAGGAACAGTGCTGGGCACAGCTGGGGGGGGTTGTGTGCCCCCAAGGCCATCCTAGGGGATGGCAGCCTCCACTCTGCTCCTGTGGGAGCTGGCCCTGGCCCTCACCTGTCCCCTTTGCTGTAGTCCAGGGTGCAGCAGGTTCGGAGGGGTTCATAGTCGTATTCTCCCCAGCCCAGCAAGGGCATCACGGACCAGAAGGCAGCAAAGAGCCATGCAAACACCATCATGGAGGCAGCTGTGCTCCACTGCAGCCTGCTCCCTGTGGGAAGAGGAAAGGGAGTCTCCATGCCCTGAACAAAACCACTGGAAACAGCTGTCAGGCCCTTGGGCCTCAGGCAGAAACAAGCAGTTGTTTGTGATTTGTATCGTGAAGCTGATCTGAGTCTGGAGGAATCAGTCTTCCATGAAATATGAAGGCAGCTTTTAGGAAACAGCAAACTGTACTTCCCTTTTTGTGTGTCTTACTTCGATGAATGCTGTATTGCTGCTCAGCTTTGTACCACAGTGGAGATACAGCTGCTGTTACGAACACTATATTCTTGTGTTTTGGGAATGTGTTAAAAGACACAGATGAGGCAGCGAACACAATGAACAGGGTGATGCAATAAACAGTGTTTGAAGAAACAGAGCCCCATTGCAGAGTGTGGGTCAGGTCAGAAATGTGACTCTGCACACACGCCCCAGCCCCTGCCTTCTTCCTTCCTGCCAGGCCAGGAGGGTGTGGATATGTCATATACCCTGTTCTAAAATTACTGGTCATCACAACCTGAGAACAGAGCTTGTTCTAAAAATACTACTGGACAAGTAATTTTGCCCTTAAGATCACTTAGCCTATAACAGGAAATGTGAAGCTCAGCATTAGTAATTTTTTTCTAATTTTATAATAAAGCATTCCCTTGTGCCTATCTCATCTGGTTCCACCAAATACTATAGGAATGTAACGGAAGATTGGAAACTTGAGAAGACACAGGAAGTATTTCTTCATGGAGAAGACAGGCAAGGCTTCCTTGCTGCTGCAAGATATTGTGCTAGCCTCACTGCTTGCATGTAAAAAGGTCGGGATAATTTTGTTACTGAGGCCAGTGTCTGTCATCGTGCCCATGCTGAGCAGCCCATGACGCCAGCAGCACCAGCAGGGAGAACAGTGACTTTCCCCAGCACTCCTTTCTAATCCAATCTCCCATTAGGGACAAGTAATGATGTAATTTTCACTGAGCTTGGGAAGCAATCTTTTTGTCTGCCATTAGACAGCAGCATCATGACAGCAGGCAGAAAGATTCAGGCCAATTCTGATCTGTCCCTCAGAGGTGAAGGACTGGGGATGAGGTGCATTTATATTTAGACTGGTGAAATCAGCTGCTGGTTGACCCTTCAGAAAATATTTACACGCACATCAGAAGTAGCTAAAAATGTATGAATGTAAAATTAAACAAGCTTGAGATTACTTTAGTTTTACTCAGAAAAACACTTTCAGTACAAGAACAGTGAAAGAATCATGCTGTCCTCACATGGCAAAAATGTCCTCCCCTGAGAAGGCTGAAAGCAAGAGCACATGTTGAGAGCAGTTCAGTTGTTTTTGTCCACATCAGGCCATTGCTTTACCTTAAATGCCTTTTCTTGGCCTGACAAAATTTAATGTAATAGCCATGTAGGTCCTAATTCAATTAAATGCATGTGTATGGGGTTCCAGCATATGCTTACAGATATAATTCTTAATTAGGGCCCTGTGCTGGCAGTTTGGTCCTATTAAGTCCAATCAGTCTTGTGCTCTGGTTTTCCCTCTTTGAAAAACAAAAGGGAAGCCTCTCTTTTCCACACAGGGAAATAATACAGGGGATTTTAAACATTTTCTCTAATTGCTTTGGAACAGAAAGACTCCCCTCTCTTCATTCAAAGATTACTAAAATTATGATGCCAAAAGATGAACTTTTAGCAAGTGCTAGATAGAGCATGGAACCTTAATCCTTTTGATCATGAAAGCCAGTTTTTAGTGATATAATCATAACTATGTTTCAGGGTTTAGTTTGTGGAAACATTTATGAATGTGTTTTTGTAAAGATTTATGATTTATTCAAACATTTAGCTGATTTTCACAGGCTGAAAAATACATCTCTGACACTGGGCTGCCTTTCAGCTAGATTTCAGTCTGCTGTTCAAAGGAGTGTCTGAAATAAAAGGTCAATATTTTCTATGATTTCCTATGATGGAGGGGAAAAATAGTCTATTTTTCTCATTCTTACAAATGGTTAAGTTATAATAGCTGTATAATATTAAGTTATAATATATTTCAGGACAGTATATGCCTTATACCAAACTTAATGGCATGCATAATTTAAAATTAGTTTGCAAAAGAGAGAAATATCTGAAAATTTGCTAAGGAAAAATATATATCAGTCATAAATGAAATAGGTGTTAGCATTTACTTCATCTGCAGTGCAAAAAGCAACAGTCACTGGTGCTCACAAGTGTTCAGTTTCTGTAGGAATAAGAAATTGAATGCTGCTGTGAAATCCCTGCTGGTTTTGTTTGTCTTCTCTTTTATGGTATTCAGAGAAGTACTGATATAAATCACTTCAGCTTTTCTGTTTCCCCCTAGTTCTTAAATGCAAGTTAAAAATCTATACTTTTTTCTTTCCTTTTAAATCTGTAACTTTATGCTGTGCTTATGAACGGACCAGGATCCTTTCCCTCTTCCCAAACTTCTAATGGCAGTGTGAGTGGAGTGTGAATGGCCAGAGAGGAACTGACAATGTCTGCCTTGATCTAAACTGTCGCCTTCTGTCCTGAATACCTGGCTGCTGAGAGACAGCTTCCTCAGAATCTGCCCTTTTCTTCTTCACTGTCAGGCACTCACACATAACTACTTCTGTTTTCTCCTTTCCCCCCTAATGATCAAATTTTAAAATCTTTTTTTCCCCATCTTGCTAGGGATTGATATTGATACCCTTCAGACTTCCCTGCTATCTCTCCTCTTAATGCATACTTTTGGTTTTTTCTCTAGTTCTCTCCTCTGCTGTGAAAGTAGCATCTCATAGACCCCAGAGCCACACTTAGGGGATGAAAAGAGAATTGCCCAGTGTGCTTGCCTAGAAGTAAATAAAAAAAAAAGAAGAGAGGGAAGAGTAAAATACCCTGACCTTCTCTGTCACATGGGTTGATGATACTATTTTCTTCCATATACCAAGCAACTTCAACCTGATTTCTGGTGAGTGACTTGTCTAGTTATCAATACACTTTAAAGGTAGGGTTTTGTGACTTAAGGCTGTGCTGACTTCCAAATCTAAAAACCTGGTCAATTTTCAGAATGTTGGTGAACAAATTTGTGATATGAGCATCCAGAATGGTTGTAAAGTCCCAGGTTATCCTATCATCATAGTCATCTCTAACATTCTCATCAGCTCTTTCTTCCCAGAAATAGGGATAGTAAATAATCAAGCTGAGGAATGCCACAATGAAGGTTTTCTTGGGAAACTGTTAGGACATAACAAAAAACGGGGGATGATGTAATTGAGCTTGGAAGGAGTATCAGATCCTGGGGAATGAAGATAAAAGGCTGATAGCTTTGTATTTTAGCTAAAGGTATTTTGTACCTTCTGTACAGGCATGCAACTCACACCAGTGTCAACAGGGGTTTAATGTATGGATTGAGAACACAGTATAGCCTGTGGGCTTGGTGTAGCACGTCTTTGAAATATGACTTAATCTTCCTTGCAATCAGCATGTGAAGAATCGAACTAGAAAGGGCTGGTTTTACTGGAATAACCACAGGGCATGAGCACCTTCTGGGTTTTTATTTTGTTTTGTTGTTCAAAATGTTCACTTTAGGAGCCATGTTTGGCCATCAGTAAGTAACAATTTGAGCAAAGTAAAGAAGCTTGTGCCCTTAGGGCCCTTCTGTCCTCTTAATGTAGTGCATGTTCTTGACTGGAGGAGTGCATGACACAAAAGCATTAAAGTCAATGTGGCAGAGAGTAAAATGTCTTTCCCAGAGATGCTTATTTTCAGGCTCTCTCTTGTGAAATACAGATGCTCCTCTTCCAGCTCCAAATGCATTTCAGTGTCCAAGGGGTGTTAGTATGGATTTAGCTCACAGCCTGCATTATGTGGGGCCTTGGTCTAGACATGAAAAAATACATTTCTTTGCCTGAGCTGGATTCCTTCAAAAATTGCAGAACAAAAAAGTTGGCAACCTTTCCTCAACAGGATCAGACTGACCATATTCCCTGTGTGCTTTTTGGGTGTATTTTGCCATTGGCTGCTGGACTATTGTGGAGGCTCTGTGGGGAAAAAGTCTCTGCACCCCAAATTGCCTGCATGTTGCACAAAGGGGCTGCTGAGCCAGTCATGCCGCTGCATGGGCCCTGTTCCAGCCACCATCTCTGCAGAGGCAGCTCTCTGCTTACACCAAATTTATCTGTCACTAGTAAACTCTGCATGGATGTGATGATCTCTTTGGTACACAGCAGGGTGTTGGATGAAAGCCCAAGATGAACAGATTTTTCTTCAATATGAGGAACTGGATTTTATTTGGGATTTTGTTGTAAAGTTTACTTATGGATTTAAAGAAAGCATGGCAAGAGGGTCACAAATTAGATGTGATCAGGACAAGGAAATATCTCCTGATGGTTGATAATTTCCCCTGTATGGGAAGAGTTCCTTTGGAGAAGCTGTTTATATTTGCTGTATCTAGTGTGTCAGAAAACCAAACTTATATACAAGATACACAAATTATAAGTATGTGCTTGCTTTGATTCTCAGAAAGCTGAGGCAGCTGCCTTTTGCAGCATGTGGGGAAGGTTGTGAGGGGAACTGCAGCCCTTACTTGTGCAGTAGTGATGGTATCGGTCCCAGGCGACGGCTGCGCTGGAGCCAATGCTGGCCAGGGCTGTCAGGAAGCCATGGAAGCCATGGATTTGACAGCCATCAGAGCCATAGGGCCAGTATCTGTCAACAAACAAATACGTTAAGAAAAGTATAGAGAAAGGTGAAGACATGTTTGGAAATTGCATTAACAGAGAGGGTAAAATGATAGCCTGTGCTTGTCCTGAGAATCTGAGAAACACTGTGAAAAATGTTACTGTGCTTGCTTTTAGGCATTTGCCAGCATTTTTCTTGCTGTGGTGTCTCTTACAGTACAACAGCTGTTTGTACTCTTAATACTGAGAAGAAAATATAACCCTGCATCTGTGTATTGAAAAGTTGGTGTTTTTAAATTTGAAATCTACGTTTCATCCAATTATCCAGATCTTCAAGGTCTGCTTCCTTTATGAGGAGGCAATTTGTCAATGTGTGCAAGTCAGTGCAACACAACAAACATATAAAGACTTGCAGACAAATTTAGGGTCAACCTAGAGGTTTAGTGACACGATATTTTGATATTCAGTTAGCTTCTATAACCACTGGTAAAGTTGTCTGGCTAAATGTCTTCTCTAGTCAGTCTTATAATCTGTCAGTGATGATATGCAGTAAAATTTGCTTTTCTACTTGCCCAGTAGAAGCATGTAGGGTTTTGTTTCATTGTTTTGGATTGAGGGAATGAGAAGTTTGGCTATGACTTACGGTAGAAAGAGAGCCATTTAATTAGTTAGACCCCTTAGAACTTAAGATGTTAATTTTCACGTGATTCTCCCGAGCATGCTTTGGGAAAACCTTTGTGCCATACCTGAGGAAGCTGGAGAAGGCAGCGATGAAGGCGTTGATGCAAATGCCGCAGTCGGCCAGGGCGATGCTGAGAACCAGCAGATTGCTGGGCGTTCGCAGCTCTTTGATTTTTCGGAAAGAAATGATTGTCAAGCCATTCAGACAGAAACCAAGCAGGGCTGAAAGACAGAATTGTTTGGTGTGATTCAAGTGGAAATTGAAAATAACTACAATGATGCTGCTGTTTTCTTTGATGAGAGAGCAATAATTACAGTGGAATCTTATGCACAGGGAATAAATAGATCTGTAGTGGTCAGTCTGCACGCAAGTTACAAAGGCTTTCAGAAGAGAAGTCATAGGTGACAGCTCAAGCCAGTGCTTCAGACTTCTTCATTCATGTGGAGCAGAAGCAGTTTGATCTTATTTATAATTCTGCCTTTTGTTATAATAAGAGAAACTGGATTGTCAGGCTGCATGCAGGGACACATGGTTCAGGGTTCAGAGCGAGTGAGATGCAGAGGAGGCAGTTTCAAGAGAGCTGACAGCCAGCACATGCTGCTGCTGTGCACATGTCCAGGCCTGACTTTGACAGAAAAATGGTTTGTATTTAATATCCCTTGTAACATTCCTTTTTGTTTAAGCACAGAAATCCCTCAGCCATGTTTCAGTCAGCCTGCCTCCCTTTGGACTTCAGTCTCAGGGTAGCCTACACAGTGCTTGAATTACACCAGCTCAATCTTATTACTGTCCCTCGTCAACAGACTATACATGGAAAGGAATAATCTAATTATGAAGAGCAGTCACTGATAGATTAAAAAAAATAAGTTTATGTTGTTCCTCAGAGAGGGATCCAAGCAACCCAAGCTATTCACCCAGCACAGAGCTGTGCCACTCTGAAGCCCATCCTTCACTGGTTTAAACTCAAGCTTTGTCCTTTAATGCCCTTTTGAAGGCGACCTGAATTAGTTTAGCTCTGATGAGGATCTGACTCAACATCCAGTCTCTAAGTCTCAGTTAGATGAGAGGCACTGTGTCTTTGTGTTCTTCTTGGAAAAAGAAATGCTGTAGCACAGAAAAAATCCATATCCCCTAATTCTGTAAAGTAGTGTAGTTACTTATGCTTATTGTCTTAATTCTGCAGTTACATAAGATGGATGATTTTTTTCTAGCCAGAAATCCTGCTTCTACCTTAATTGCATTAATGGCTGATGGCATAACCATAGTAACAGCTGATGTGTGTCTATCATTGCACAATATAGAACAAAATATTTCCAGGAGAAATATTTGGAGCCATTTGAGATCTGCTGTTTTTATTTCCTCCCTGCTAGATTACCTCCCACCCACAGGGCAAAACTGCTGTTAACTCTCTCAAATGCAGAGAAGCCTTTAGGAGAGATGTGTTCTGAGCATATTTAGAGTAGAGCTGAAGAGTTATTACTATATCAGATTTTTTTCTATCTTTTCCCTCTTTTTGGAAGCCTCGGGCTTTACCAGATTCTGCTTTCTTGAAGGTCAGCATGAGTGCACACATAGAGAACTTACTAAATTTTTTTAAGAAAGTATTGAGTTTTCATTTTTAAATCAGCAAATATGTTCACTTAATAAACTGGATGCAACTCTTCACCACAACCTTTCTTTGCAAGCTGCACTTAGAAGCTGCCATGAGGAAAAGAGAGGTCTTCATCACCTTTGTCTCAGAATGTTTCAGAAAGTAAATGACTCCTTGATTGTTTAGCTTGGTCTTCTAACCCAGATGACAATAACAAAGTTTTACTGCCAATATACTGGGCACATTCTGCCTGAAACCCCACGGAACATACTTATGTTTAATAAACCATAAATGTGTTAGACTAGACCTAGTTTTAACTGAAGGTTGCCATGGGGCTCTTTGCTGGAACTTCCATAGCTGCAGCCCCAGCACAGGTCAGGGCTGGCAGGGCCGTGGTGCCACGAGCAGGTCCCCAGCAGGACCCAGCTCTGCCAGCCCCAGCACTGTCACTGTCCCTGTGCTGCCAGGCTGTGCACATGGCTTTGGGGACTGTGGGCCAGGCTTAGCCCTGTTTAGGCAGCAGCCTGCTCCTGGGCAAGAGGTAGAAGCTTTTCCCCCTCTCTTCCAAGCAAGAGTGTCTGACATCATTTCCAGCTTTCTTTTGCAGCCACGTATGACCTTGGGTGGAAGGCAAAGGTGAGCACCCGTGCTCCATGTTCATGGAGTGAGCTAACAAGCATTTATCCCACTCTGAGGGTGCTCACAGCTTCTCCTCCTCTGCTGTTGGGCCCCACAATTCCCACATCCCCTCTGATTCCTATGCAGGAATGGGATCCCAGGCCCTGGGACTGACACCAACATTATCCTAGCTATGAGCCTTTGCTAGCTGCCAGGTAGATATAAATTCACTGTTTTGTTACAGTCTCTCAATAAGTGGAATATGCCTTAAGAAAAGATCAGACTGGCTCAATTAAATTGATATGCTTTGTTACTTTTACCCAGCAGCCATTAATTGCGGTGCTACCAATGCAGTCTGGATGTATGCTAACAGTTTACAGGTCTTTTTGGAGCTATCATGTTTGATTGTAAGATTGCCATCACAAGCTGCAAAACAAGCAGTGCAATTTTATTGAGAGATTATCAGTCATTTCAACTTCTTTTCCCAGAGGAAGATAAAATTGCCTTTAAAAGTCAACAACAAAATATTACATCCCAAATTCCTGAGAAGAGAGCTGAGTAGCTCTACTTCACTGCCACAGCTATGCAGAGAGTGCAGATCTTCACAGCAAAGAACTTTCAGCTCTTCCTGATTTACTCACCAGAAGTACTGGTGATGTAGCCACAGTAACTAGGGTCAGCACACCACAAATGCTGCTGTTCACTTCAATTTTCCTTCTCCCCTCTTACCAGAAATAATAGGGGGGAAAAAAATCTTCTTGCTGCCGAGGTCCCCCACCAAACTTACCTTCTACCAGCAGGGCAGTGCCAATGGCAAACACTTCTATTTCAGTGAAGCCTTCAGGGAGAGGGTGTGCAGCGACCATTCTTATGATAAATATGCCAAAAGATTTAACCTATGCCCTCTGTTATAGCTGTGGGGCTGCCTTTTCTCTGGATCTCTCTACTTCCAGTAGCCCAAGGCTTCTTAAAGGAGCAGCTCACGTGCAAACACATGCTGTTATTATATAAAAGCTTTGGGGTTTTTACTCCCACCACTACAATCCCTGCAGGAATGTTATTAGTGATGGGACTAGCATCAGCCCGTACTCCCCCTTCCCCTGCAAATCGTATTTCAGACACCAGCAAAATGAAAGCATTCATGGCAATTACAACAAGTTCTTTGTAGACACAAGATTAAGAAACCTGTCCAGTTAATTTTGCAACACTGCAAAAGAATTAAATGTTGTGGAACAAAGGAAACATGTAATTGGGGAGTGACCTGAAAAACAAAGGGGCACTCATTGAGTTGATAATTAGAGGAAAAGTATGAACCAATAATTTCTGCAGCTTGTAGATCTTCCCCTCACCCATTTTTTTTTTAGAAACTGGCCAATATATTTTTCTGGCAATGACTGTTCTCTAATATTAACATATTTCCTTTTTGTAACTGAGGCTTAAATTAATATGCACAGTGGCACAGCTTGATTAAAGACAAACACAAATTACTGATTTGGGGCCCTAAACATACAAGGACATGAGTGAGTTGCTCAGTGGTGAGCACTCACAGGAATCACCTTCCTTTTGGAGATATTTGGGGGCTGGAGTCTGGGTGCACAGTGGCTCTGGACTATGTGCAGCCTGCAGCTTGTCCAACCTCCAGCTCATTGCCTTAACAAGGTGCCACTAGCATGATAGTTCTTTGCTACGTAACTTTCTTCATCCTGATAATCCTACTACAAAATGGGAGCAGAAAGGGATATGAGCCCAGGGGATATGAGCTTCCCTCAGCTCAGGCCCCACACTGTGCTGACCTGGCTGCCTGTTGATTGAGGTCTCAGGCAGAGTGAATTCACTCCAGATGCCAACAGAGCTTGCTCAGCTCTCCTGACTATGTGGTGAAGTTTACATTTCAGGGGTGCATTTACAATCAGGGGTGTTGGTTGAAGATGGTGGATTTTTTGCAGTTTTCCTGAAATCTGTGCTTAAAGGCTGTGATGCCCAGGAGAACTGATTAGAGCTTCAAGGCTGTTGTGAAACCATCTTGCTGAGTTTTTTTGATCTCTGGTATTCAATTTACAGCTCTTTTTGATGCAGGTAATTGCCTTGATGGATATGCTCTTAGATTGTGAAGTAGAATTCAGGAGGGTATGATATTTGTTAGGCTATACAGATATTTGGTTTAAGCAGAGTAAAATTACATTGCACCCCATAAATCCATTGTTATGTTTGCTTTTCACTCACCTACATGTCTTGATGACAAAGAAGGTGACAGTCCTGCCTCCCAGCATGGCAAATGAATGACATAAACCTGTGTTTTAATAGTGATCCATTGTATGTTCTTGCAAAAAAATTAGTGCTAGATCTTGTAAATGTGCTGTAAATCTTCCTAGTGTGATAGTTCTGAAAATGGATGGCTCATTGTAATGCTTGTCAACATAAAGCTGCACAGCTCTTCTAGACTGGGATAAAGGACACAGGCATTTGAACTGCCCTCCTGAGGCCTGTCAGGTACTTTTGGTCGCCTGCCACTGTACTTCACCTTCACTCCCAGGAAAATCTCCCAGATATGTCACACTGCTGGTAGTTTTGTGGAGTGTATTAAAGTCTGTGGGGCAAACTTTGCTCATTCCAATACTTTTTCTTCCATGAAAGTAGGCTACGACCTCAGTCCCCTTGGATTTAACAGACCTTTATTAGAATGATTATTTTTAACTTGTTGACTGTTTTTCTTTAAGTATCTTAACAATTTCCATGTCTAAATCTAATTTAATTTATCAGTGCAGAGTCTACTTACATAAGTCAGTCATAGGAAAACTTTCCAATGGCAGTTCAGCATCTGACTCAAGTGAAATTCATGTCAACAGAAACTTCCTGCATCAGTCTCTTAACTCCTTTGCTGATGCTGTGTTAAGTTGACTTTCTAAGGGTATGTTGAGATAGTATGGAATGATATATGGTCCAATATGGCTGCTAACTTCAGTTACAAATTCAGGTTGTAAATGGTTTTCTTCAAGCAAAGAGGAGGTGCAAATAAGGAATAAATTACTGACTTTGATAGAATCTTCTAATGATAGCTCTTTTTCCAGCTGGTAAAACAAAGCTGCATTCATTTGCTTTCTGTCCTTTTTATGTAAGATGTAACTTCACATCGTGTATTCCTGTGAAGTCAGGGATAACATGCAAATGATAACTGCTTTGCCAAAGACACTCATTAACTCCTTAGTGATGAAGTTTTTTGTGCCTTTCTATTTTATGCACTCTTTCAATAGCTACTTGCTATTTCCAAATTGAGGGGGAAAGGTCTTTTGCTGAACCTGATGTTATCCTAGAACTTCATAATTTGAATTCCACTGATCTCCTTTCTGCATCAATAACAGATCCATTTCCTTTTACCCTCTCACTGAAGATTATTTCACTGGTTACTAATCTGTTTGCAAAGAATACACAGAAAAAATATAGGATAGTTTCTTGCCAGATGTCCTTGTGGTTTTCATAGAACTGTGTATATTTGGTGGGAGCATATTAATCTTTGTAAAATATGCATTGGTACAAGCACAACAAAAAAAGGTGCAGTGCAAAGATAACAGAGTGCTCATGCACTCTGAATTTTCTTCAAGCAATCAATGCAGATTACTGACACAGTATTTTATATTCACAGCAAGAACTTTGTTAAATTGATGTGTTATTATTCCCCTGCCTTTCTAATCCTTTCTTCTGATTCAGTTTTAGCCAAATTTGACTTTTTATGTTGAGATATGCCTTTAAATGAAAAATGGCAGCATTTCAGCAGAAGCAGGCTGGGAATGCAGTCACCCAGAACTGCAGTTTGGTATCACTGAAATGAGTGGTAATCTTGGTCCTCATGGGAAAGGCTTCTTGCCAAAGAAAGGAAACAGAAAGCGTATTGTCTGGAGACCTTCTCGTTGCAGTTGTGTAAATTTGTTTCAGTTTGGTAGGGGTGGTAGGGAATATGACCCAGATTGTAAATAGGCACCTGGTGCTGGCCTTAGGAGGGATGATGCAGGGAAGAAGTCATCACACCAGGGTGTGCACGGGCACCAGCCCTTTGGAAATGCCTGCAGCCACTCAATAACCCTTCTCCTCAACAGTCTGTACAACACAGGATAGCACTCTGCTCAATCTGATTTTCTCTGCAGTTGTCTCAGAGCTGTTGGAGGAAGATGTAGTGCTGAAGGCCTGGGCAGGGCCAAGGGTTCTGGGGCAGGCAGGAGCCAGTGGCTGTGCTTTGGGGAGCGAGCTTGGTAGCCCCAGGAGTGGTGGGGAGAGTGCAACGGACAAGGCAGGATGGGGGCCAGGAGTGGAGGTGCTGTCTGTGCAGAGGAAAGGGCTCACTTGCAAGTACAGAGAAAGCATCAAGGTCAGGGATAATATCTGGGGAAAGCTCCTTGGCCATGCTGAGCAAAAATGAAGGAGCTGTAAACTTGGTGGGAAGTAAGAAAGACTTGCAAGTACAGAGAAAGCATCAAGGTCAGGGATAATATCTGGGGAAAGCTCCTTGGCCATGCTGAGAAAAAAATGAAGGAGCTGTAAACTCGGTGGGAAGTAAGAAAGCCAGGAGGGGCAGCTCCAGAGCCAGAGCCGTGCTGTGTGAAAGACTCTTCAGAAAAGGACACAGATCCATCACCTGCTCCCCAGATATCACACATTAGCTCTGTGATTGGCTCCATGAGGACACCACACCTGGGACCAGGCTGCACTGGGACTGGCTTTCCTGCCTGCTGCTCCACCTCAGTCTTTCGAGAGTCAGAGCTTCCTGCAGAGCTGGGAAGCATTGCCTCTACTGTTTGAGTTACCTCTCCAGAGACAGGTAGCTTAAATCACTGTAAATGGAATATGAAATTAATAAATATATGTATATCCACCCAGGATAGAAAATAAAGTTACTGGAACATTGCAGTTTCCAAGAAGTTTACTAGAACTGCCACAAAGGTATGCAAAGTCTCGGGGCTGTATTCAGGTAAATCAGAGCAGGAAAGCCAGTGCCTGTCAGACTGCCAAGAGAGCAGAGGGTTGCTGTGTAAACCACTGTGCTCCATCTGCATTCAGGAGCCAGATAAACAATGCTGGAAGTTCTTGCATGCCTGAAGAAGCAAAATAAAACAGCTCTGTTTCCTAAGCAGAGGTGACTCCGCTGAGCTTAGACTAATACTATTAAGGTCCAAATCAGAAAAGGTGGTTGCAGTCAGCAGTATTACTGCATGGGCCCCTCTGTTGTGCAGCTGAGGATTCTAAGCCCAAAGTTAGCTGATTTTGTGGAACTGAGGGAACTGCACTGAATTTTAGGCAATAAAGGTACAATAGAGATACAGGACCAGGCATATAAACCTAAGAAAGCTTCACTCATTTAAAATACGTCAGATATGACCATGGTATTTCCAGTCATTAAATCGGACCATTGTGGATGTGTATGTGGGTGAGGCTGCTCAGACAAGAGTACTTTTTTCAGTGAGAACAATGCTGCTGGACAGATATTTATGCTGTTCTAGGTGTATGTTTTGGTAATCCCTGATAATCAGTTCCCCTGCTGCCTTCCCTCTGTAGAGGAGTCCACAAAGGGTTTGTCCCAGAGAATTTCCCTCTGTGGTCCTGAATGTCCAATCCTGGTGGAATTTTCCTGTCACTGTGAAGCCTTTGTAGAAGAGTAGAAGAGCTATGGCCATGGTGACTGGCCCACTCCTCCCCTAAGGTGAGGCAAGATGTTGTGTCCACCTTATCTCAGTGGTTGCTGAGGGGCTCATTCTCCACTGGACCTGGAGGCTCTGGCCAGCCCTTCTCATCTGCCTCAGCCAGGGCGAGGCCTCTGTTGGTGCCTGAGTGCAGAGGGAGCAGACAGGGAGACACCACGGGGGTTGGCTTACACCCCTCCAACCTCTGCCAGGCTTTGCCTTGCTGGGCACTGCTGACCAAACTGGGGCCTCGTGGTGGCTTCTGCAGGGACAGAAATGTGTGCAGTTTGGGA